AAGAAATATAAACGTTCATTAAACCAGATGGTTGTAGGGTTTCCAGACTGTAGATTACTTTCTTTTCTAGTCATTCTATTGTGTGAATGTCTGTTGAAGCACGTATAAGTCCCATAATCAAAGAGTCCTCAATTTTATGCTTGTTATCGGTGGATTGTTTGCCTTTAGGTGTTTCTTTGTTTTGCGCTTTAATGTATATCTTGTTGAAGGTCCTTTGTTTTCCAATGCTATTAAGTATAATAAATATTACTTTCTTGTACATTATAAATCCGCAATCTGAACATATCTATATAATCTGGGTGTATGGATACTTTGCGTCAGAAAGGTCTGTTACATACCCTTCTCAAAAGCGATCAATTTTTGATGCCATCTCACTACCTACGAAACGAAAAGCATTGCTAAAATATAGTTCTGGTATATATTATTCTACGACTATATATCGACGGTGGTTGTCACTTGACTTGCTTATTTACACATTCAAAATAATTTTGATATAACGTACTTAACTCTCTGTATTATACTAGTAATAAGTAAAAAAGAAATGATATAAAATACCATGCAGTAAACGTTGATGGTATGTTAGGCAAAGTTTGAAAGAAGTAAAGTTTATGTATATTAATGTAAAGTTTTAAAGTGTAAAACATAAAAACTGAAAAAAAGTTTTAAATATGCAAAATATATAAACTCATGCTTTCTCAGAAAACAAAATGTACGAAACACTTAAAATTCAAAAGGGATATATATATATGAATATCCATACAAAACAAAACGGTATACAAAACTAGCATATCTAGCATATATAAACAGAATGAAAACGTAGTGACTACCAGTTTTATCCTTATTCTTATGGGTTGTGTACAGAGTTATTTTTGCTATGAACTCATTATTATTGAAGGATTTGGTTTTGTACTGGTGTTGTTATAAAAACAACATATGTACTATCGAGTCAGATGATCATCATATCAGTTGCCTATACACCTATAGAGTTTTGTAGGTTAACCGTTTATCATTATATACGTAATAAACAACGTTAAAAATACGCTGGTTGATTATAAAACTGCCTGTTTCTCTTTGTTAATGTAGATGTTTTTCATTTTTCTCGTCTCTCAAGTTTACCAAACAAACAGGCCCGGCATGGCCAAGTGGTTAGGGTGCTCGACTTGCAATTCGAATAGTATGTGACACCTGTATATCGTTTGCAGATCATGAATTCTGTATTTTTCACAGCTGATGAAGCAAATAGTAAATATATGTTTAAGTTAAAAGTACTATTGTGGTATCTTTGTTGCTCATCTGTAAGTATGAGAGCTTGAAACGCTGTAAATTGGGTTTCGATACCGGCGGTGTGCAGCTTACAAATAGCCCATTCTATATCTTTGTGCTGAACAGTAAACAAACAAACAAACGTACTGTCGTGCTCAGGTATCTACCAGAAGCGCAATGTTTAAAGTTTCGACGTTCAGATGAATGACGCTACTCCATTAAGTATATAATAATATCTGTATAACTTGATACTGAGGTTGGCGAGAAAGAAAAAGAACCATGTTAAATTTATATAGATAAAAATTTAATGTAAATCTGAAGTATTATTGAAAATTTACATGCCTTTAATAAAGGATAAGAGACCTGTTTAAAAACCAACAAGTACAGAATTGTAGAAAAATTCATGCACCCGAATACGGTAACAAAAATTACAATGAAAAAATTAAGCCGATGTAAAACTTAGTGCACCCAAGATTTTTATTTATTACAATCGAAATTCTGAAAGATCTTTATGTGTTGATCTTAAATGTAAGCCCCCAGTGGCACAGCGGTATGCCTGCGGACTTACAACGCTAGAAACCGGGTTTCGATACCCGTGGTGGGCAGAGCACACATTGCCCATTGTGTAGCTTTGTGCTTAACTTCAAACAACAACTTAAATGTAAATAATTAATTAAAGTGGACAGTACTATTCTGAGGATATTTACAACCATTACCACTTAAAGTAGTGATAAATGTAAATGTTCTGATGTTTTAGTATTTCTAAATGCTTTCGATTTAAATTCTAAGATACTATAAAAGAAGATTCTATCGATTGGTAGAAAACTAAATCACAAACTCGAATCACGTTCAGTCTTATTACTCTCCTGTACAAAACCAACCAGACGAAGTCTCATGTCTCATTCGACCTTGATAAATAAATAATGTTTTGAAAACGCCATATAATCAACCTTGTTAGACTATGACAAAGTATCTATGAGTTCCAAAAAGCCATAGATTGAATAATAAGTTATTGTTTTGTCACGTATAATGATAGAAGTGAAAGTTGTATTTTCTGATACAAACTAAATGGCCATGTGACAAATAAGTGAACAATTTTAGTGTATTGACCACAGTTAGTTTTATCTGTCCTTAGTTTAAGCTTTTATTACATATATAATTAATTCAAGCTATATAAATTTTCCGTATAACATTACGTCATTAGCTCAGTTACATTAGTTTTGCTAATTACTTTATTTCCCATATTTATAATTATAATAATTTCCCTTTCGAAGTTTTATTATTATTATTGATTTTTCTCGAGGCTTATCTCGTTATTTTTCAGCTTTTACTGAAGGTCTAACTTTATTTTTTACTTTCTGTTGCCTGCTTCGTGTGTTAAGTAACAGAGGTTAAAGTGAGATTAGTTGTGTTAGCCACACCTCATGGTATGTTTACCATATTGCTTTCTTTGTAGTACATTAACATTGTTATATCTTAAATACAGGACCAATATTCTAGTTACTTATTGTATGATTCAAGTATTAATTTAATTTCTTATTGATTATTTTGTATTTCCATAAACTTGAAAAGGTTTTTCGTTGTACAAAACTTGAAGATAACTTTGATATACGGAAACATCTGTTAGCTGTGCAAGATCTCAGCTAACAGATGTTTCCGTATATCACAGCTATTTTCATAAACATTAGTTTTTGGTCTTACTCTAGGTAACGTCCTGCTATTTGGCTCCATATCAAAACAGTAACATTTGTCTTAGTAATTTGTCTCAGATGCATGATCCTCAAAAGTTATACTGTCGGAGTGTTTCAATGAGTTTTCACTGGTCACAAAACGTTTTTATTAGGATAGGTTGTAAAAATTTTTAATACAAAGTTATACTGACATTGCATTGTTCAACAAATATTAAGTCTACGACAGTACTTGAGGCTAACAACTAGTGTTTTTGTGTTTTGTAAATGATTCTAAGAACTTATGAGTAAAGCCAAGAATATGTAATAATATGTCAACCACACTAAGTTTTCTTAGAATTACTATCATTTAACAGTACTGTTTACAATATTTAATAAATCCATTACTGTTATTTTTATTGATCTTTGGTATACTTTATTACAGAGATTGTTTAGCATTGTTATATGGATTTCGTACTAACCCAAATCTCCCAAGCTGGTCACACCTCATGAGACATTATTGTGTTTACAGCCGAATATATTGTTAAAAGAGAGAAAAAGAACCCAACTGATGAAATTATGTATTCTAATCTTTATAAATACGAACCTAAAAAAATATATTTAATTAATTATAGTGATTATCAGGTTGATTTTTTGTTTCGCTCTTTATAAGTAGCTTGCTCTAATCGGAATTTAATATTAGTTATTAAACCATGAAACCTGTTAAGGTACAAGATATCAGCTGTATGATATCATATAAGATTTGATATCGATAAAACTAGACTACATACTAGGCTGTCTGAGAACATATACGAAAAGTACCATATACCAGTGGTTAGGTGTTCGGCTCGCATAGCCCAAATATTTGTCATGACCTTATATATGAAAGCTAATTCTCTTAAGAATTGAGTAAGAAATTTCAATGTAAAGTTAAAATCCTGATATCATTCCGCATGTAAGTTAAATCCTGATATCATTCCGCATGTAAGTTAAATCCTGATATCATTCCGCATGTAAGTTAAAATCCTGATATCATTCCGCATGTAAGTTAAAATCCTGATATCATTCCGCATGTAAGTTAAATCCTGATATCATTCCGCATGTAAGTTAAAATCCTGATATCATTCCGCATGTAAGTTAAATCCTGATATCATTCCGCATGTAAGTTAAATCCTGATATCATTCCGCATGTAAGTTAAATCCTGATATCATTCCGCATGTAAAGTAACGATAGAAATGTAGTCTTGTTTAAAATAAACAGTATACAGATATTTACTTGTGTGTAGTTCAACTCAGCCTTATTCTTTTCAAAATAAAAGAATCAAAATGATGATTCGGTTTAGAAATATTCTGGATGTGGTAATCTAAACAAGCAGAGCACCAGTTAGTCGGAAAGCAGATTTGAATCTCAACCGATCTCGCTCTTTCACTTCTCAAAATCAAAACGGAGGTCTTAGCTGTCAAACAATATTCTAATGGCTTCGTTCTCCTATCCAATAGCAATATATTAAAATAAATAAGTACGTTTGTGAAATGTCGTTACAGTTTGTGAATTTTAAAGGGGCTTTTGGAAGAAATCACGAAAACAAAATTATTTGTAGACTTGTATTGGCTACATTAGCAATAGAAAACTATCTAAAAAAGATCTTATGATGAAACATATTACAATAGTATAAGCGGTGTAGACATTAATTTGTGTTTTTATATAGCGCTGTAGACATTAATTTGTGTTTTTATGTCACCAGTCACAACGAACATTGAAGAAAGCTAAGCTCAACAATGAATTTCAAAAGTATGTATATTACGGTGTTTTTCATCAATGATGCGGTACGTCTTAGGGTTTACAACGCTCAAATCAGGGGTTCGATTCTCCTCGGTGGACACAGCAGATAGCTCAGTGTGACTTTGCTATAAGAAAACACACACATTCATCAATGATACTATTGAGTTATGTTATCAGCGCCTCATATTGGAGAGAATCTTAAATACCAGACAACAAATCGACAGCGTAGCCATGGTAACTTGTAGACTCTAAATGCTTTGAACACTTTTTGGGAATGATGCGTTAAAAGTGCATGCTATGCAGTTACTAGTGTCCAATAAACGAAACGTGGAGAGCATCTGGTCAGATTCCTCGTCTCAGCTTCAATTACATTTGCTATAAGTAGCAACATGATCTCTTATCAGGTAAGAAACAAATGTTTACAAATCTGAAATTGAGCAGTTATCTGTATTATGCTTTAGATTAATCTTATGTCACATACATATATATATATATAAAGAATTTAGCTCCCCCACCCCACCAGTGGCACAGCGGTAAGTGAGCGGATTTATAACGCTAGAAACTGGGTTTCGATACCCGTCGTGGGAACAGCACAGATATTCCATTGTGTAGCTTTGTGCTTAACTACAAACAAACAAAGAGTTTATAAAACATACATAATCTGTATTCAGATTTCACAGAAAATTAATCATCTAGAAATTAAAAAATAATTTTAGGGGAAAATCTCATAAAATAAGGTTTGAAAATAATACAAATTGAAATATGCATGACCATAATTGTATTAACCTCAATTATGTACACTCTAATAGGTATTAAAATTCGTGTTTGAGCCGTACAAATCCTGTCTCTCTCTATTTTATTCTTTGATGGTAAGGCTGTGAAGAGAAATATATTCATTTCTTGTCTCCGAAAAAATTTTAAGTTACATAATCCGAGAAATAAAATGTCATGTAAACTTGCCTAATCACAAAATATTCTAACGTGATCGAAGAACGTTTTCTAAGAAAGATATTATTTGATAATTTAGAGCATACAAGAGTTCTTCAGGAAACGCAATAGGCTATATCTTTCGTCCACTGTGGGGAATCGAACCTTGGATTGTAGCGTTGTAAGCCTATACAATTACCACTGTCTCACCGGAGGACGTTTATATAAGAAAGATACAAGTAATGTCGTTTTAGGTTATTCCTGAACTCGTTTGTATTCACGAATACTTGGATCACAAAATTGTCAGTTTTCGCTAGTGTTGCTTTAGTTTTGTTTGTGATTCTAATTTCTTCAAGATATACGTAAATAACTTTTTTAATTAATTTGAACATTTTACTATAGAGTTTGTTAAAGTGTTCACGGTTGTTATTTTGTTTTCTACAACATAGTGAGCACTTGGAAGTCTTAGCTTCAGAAATGTTGTTTTCCGTATATGGTACAGTTGAATGTTTGTGGAACTACTTTTTTTAAAGCAATTATTCTGAGTGGTAGCCAATAAATCCTTCCCTTTCTTTTTTATATTTGCATTTACGGAAAATTATGTGTTATTCTTGATAAATGATCTATCACACTTTCTTCAGAACTGTTTACGAAATAGAAAAGTTGAACTAATAAAGAACGATACAAACAAGGACGTATTTTCTTGTTTATTTGTTGATAAGCCCATTTCTCTGCCCACCGCGGGTATTGAAACCCGAGTTTTAAAGTTACAAGCTCTCAGGTTTGGTGCTGAGCCACCTAGAGGGCTGTATAGTATTTGCTGTTTATTAGATTTAAACTGAAAAAAAAAATACATGAACTATCTTAAGCCTAATGCTGTATTTCTTAGCGTAAAACAGATGTAAAAAAAGGACTTGCAAACTCAGCAGGAGTCTAGCACATGGTCCATAGAAAGGTTCATGTCAGAATATAAATATGGATACAAAATTATAACACAACGATCCACAGTTTTTCCAGCACTACATTTAATTATCCATGACCATTAAAATGCAGTTGAAGCTCTAAAGTTCGCCCTCTACGATCTCCCCCAGGTCACCCATGTATATCAGGTCCATAACTCATGAAAGGAAAATTAGTTGTACCGATCGTGGAACAAATTATATTCAAACAAGGTTTTTTTTTTGTACACAGAAATTGCGAAATAACATTTAAAACAATTACCTGATGTCCAACATAAGTAATTTAAATTGCTTGTAGATTCATTAATAAAATAAAAGCAGATGTAATATTACTTTCTTTAAGGTACAGCTTAGTTGAATGTTTCATGCAAAGTGTATTATGGAATTGTTGTTTTTGATCAATTCTGTACTTGATTTTTAAAAGTACATTGTTTCTTTTTGTATTTCTTATAAAACGGAAGAAAGACTTAAAAAGTCTCATTATGTAAGTCTCTGCATCAGGACCACATAAAACCTAATACCGGGCCTGTCACATTTTTGTCTACTGGATTTTTTGTTTTGTTGTTGTTGTTGTTTTCCACCATAGTTACGACCAATAAAGCAGCTGTATGATTACAATAATCTAAATATTTTTATTTATAATTTGCTTTTTAAAGCAACTTAAATACACCTTTTTGGTAGAATTTTACGCACCTCTTCACTCATACAGATGTGTATTTGTTTGTTCCTATAAAATTCAAGCAAACTTTGCGCACCCTGAGATTACAAACCTTCTGTAGAGTGGCGGCACCTAACGGGTTAGTTCGGCCAAACTGTCATTTTTTAATAATAAGTATTTTTTTACAGCAGGATGCAATGCTTTCATTTATGTTAACAATTACAATAAATTGTTTGATTATTTATTACAGGAAAAATAATTCAATGACCACATTTTCCAAGAACATTTAGCTCGTTTGAGATTAAATAAAATTTTAGATATAATAATTTTACTATTTTTCTAGACCACACGAATTTAACTAACCTGAAATAGTTTCAATTTATTTTCTTATAGAAAAGAATCACATTTTAATGAAAGTGAAATTAACTATTCATAGAAGATTGAATATTTGAAATGCAATTCAGTGACAGATGGCTTTAAATAAAATCAGCTACAAGCATCATTACAGTACAGCTCATATTACAATATTTATTACGATTATATAACCTTTAATATTTTATTGTCCACCCGATGGGACAGCGGTAAGCCTATGTACTATTAATGTTAACATCTGGGGTTCGAATACCTGCTGTGGATTCAGCAGATAGCCCAATGTGACTTTGCTATAAAATAGACAAACAAAACAAAACGTTAATGATTACATATACATATTACACATTTCTTTTCATTCTCACCAAAGGTAAAATCGAAAAGAGAATCTGTGACGTAGAGGCCTAATGCTTTCTTTTGATTGGCTGTGAATTTCAATTTCGCCTATTCAATACTCATCAGCATAGCTTGGGAGATGGTAAGCCAAAGAAATACAGTTAGGCCTCTTATAATGGTGATTTGTTTGAGATTAAACAAAATTGTAAATATAATCATTTGAGAATTTTTCTAGACTGTTTTTCATTGGTGATTGAAAAGGACTTAAAAACCTCATTAAATCAAAACTTTATTAAATCTATTTCTGTATTTGTGCTTGTATTTTTGTTACTCTATTTACACTTAACCTTTTTTTTTGTTACTCAATTTATTTTAAAACGGTTTCTCTCTATAATCACAAATGAATTTAAAAGCGGTTTTTGTTTAGGTAAGCCTGGTCAAAAAATACATTAAGACTATTTGTGATATCTGTGATTTAGGCATATATCAAAGTGTAATTTACGTGCTTTACAAATGATCAGTTCTGGTTTATTTTCAGATTGCGTCTGAGAATACGTAACTCGTAAAATACATGATTATTTAAAGGTAGCAGAAAGAAAACACAGTCCTGCGAATTTGAACTTCATAAAAGTTGTTTTGGTTTTAATAACGGATTTTCCATAATTCAGCTACGCAGATTTCGAAAATAATGTAATTGTTTTTTCTATCGCGCATGGATTTTTTACAAATCGGGAAGAAAATATACATTCTTACTTAGATCAAATTGTTATTCCGTTTACCACAATAAACATTTATTATTATTATGTTTGTTAACAAAAATACTGTTACGTCTCCGTTTGTTAATTAACTTCCCGTACCTTCGTTCCGACGAAACTTTAGCGACACAAGTCCTTAC